CCTCCTGGTGCCTTCCATGGGTTAACTTAGAGGTCTGTGCTCTAAGCTGGCTTCCTGTTTCCAGAAAAGATTAAATCTCATTGCTCAGAGTGACACTCACCCAGAACATCTTTTTAGTGGCTGCCTTCTCTTCCCCCGCCTTTCATTCATCACTGGTTTCCTGGTGTTTCCTGAGATCACTCTTGAAATAAACTATCTGGGCTTGGATCTTGGCTTAGAATCTTCTTCTGGGGAAACCCAAAGGCAGGCAGATCTGAATCCAGACGTGCAACCACTGGGTGCTGCTTGGGTTTGTGTAAATGAGCCAGCATGGACAAGGTGCTCTTGGAAAAAAGCAAAACCCAGTCAAGATTAGCCAAGCTGGCCAAAGAGCATCAGGCACATTTTGTGGATGTTGGGCAGCTGATGTTAGAGCTCTTTATAAAAAAAACTGGAACCATCTGCTGGTTGGTAATAACCAGAATAGCAGAGTCCTAATCTGCGATGGAGTTAAACTGTTTACTCTGTTTGTGGTTATGGATTGGAAGCTTACCATGCTCAGAATAGTGGATTTAAATTCTTAAGTACATTGTTTTACAAAATTGGCATCAAGTCCTTTCAATAACATGAAATACATTGGAGTGTTGCAGCAAGAGCTTGGTGTGTTCTCTTTGTTGTTATTTTTATTATTTTGCTTTTTAAATCAAGAAAATTCACAGGACTGCAGCCCTGAACATGTCTTGTGCGGATGCCAAGAACCACTCTCTAAACCACTTTCTAAGAAGCAATTTCCTTCTTGTCCCATAAAACTCCCCAAAGCACCTTAGGCGGACGCCGTAGTGCTGGGCCTGTTTACAAACTGCAGATGCAGCCGACATTTAATTACATGGAATCCATCAAAACCCTAATTGAGACAGGAGCTCAAACCTTACAGCTTAATTACTTTCATTTCACATGGGTTACCCACTTGGTCACGTGCTGTGCCTTCTTGCCCTAATGGGTTGGAGAGGCCTGCGGGCTTTCTCCTAGTCAAGTGAAGGTGCGGGTCAGCATAGACACCCATGCTCAGTGAGGCCCAAGACTGCATTTATTAATCTCTTCCATTCCCATTTTCCATCCTTTGCCATAACATTCCAATGGAGCAGCTCTGCTGCCTGGGAGGGCTTTTCTGCATGTAGAGGTGGGTGGCTTTCTTTTTCTTTATTTTCCTTCCACTGAGCAGACTGCACAGAAGCAGGGTCCAGTCTTGTGATAGCCTCCTTAATTTGGATTGAGATGACAGGCTCCCTGACCTTCCCTTGTGTTGTCACCATGTATTCTATGGCCGTTAATTAGGCTGTGGACATTCTTGCTGCCAATTTTCACCCATACTAGCTGATCAGGCGATTTAGGGTGAAACTCAGAGGTGAGAACTCAGGGAATCCTGAGAGTTAACACTGCTGTCTGACCTTCATGGCATTACTGTGTGGGCCAGGGACTAGTAAGGCTAGGCCTGCCGTGTTCTGTCTTTATGGCAACACTGGGAAGTAGACACGCTTACACTCATGTTATAGATGAGAATATTGAGACTTAGAGAGCTGAGGTCACTTCTCCAGGCAGAGTCAGTATTCAAATCTAGACCAGTCTGATGTACTTTTCAAACATCATTTTACATATTAGGCAATCCTGGAACTCTGTGAAGCCTTGAACAAGGGGCCTACATGGCCTAAGACATGTCTGAGTGGACACAGGACAAGGAGAGCCAGCGGGAAGGGCTGGCCATGAGAGTCATCCTGTAGGTTGCTTCTGACAACAATTATGGTGACTACTTCTCACCAAGGTCACATGTGGCTGTGACATGAGCTGGCAGAGGCTTTGCAGAGAGCATCAAGTGACACACACCGGTATGAGTGATGCCCAGAACATCACGTGCCTTTTTGGCAGGTGCTCTAACCAAGCTGCTGCTGGAACTGTACTGCTAATGAATTACAAGCCACGTGTGCCTTCACACTACTCCCTAAGCCGTGAGTTGTGTGGCGCTGACTAGACACAGTCCAGTCATCTTTTTTCATCTTTTTTTTTCACATTCTCTCCCCTCCCTGGGGCTTGCTTCTAAGTTAAGCTTCAGGTAGAAATGACTAATGCACTAATGACAACACTAATAACAGCAAGGCTAATAAGCACACTGCTAGTGGCCATGGTGCTAATTACAAACGTGCCCACAGCAACAGGCTCTTCCGCTGCGTGTCACTTTCCACTTCTGGAAGGATGTGAGCAGGCACCCAAGCAGAGAGGAGCCAGGGGGCTGCAAGTGGCACCCAAGATGAAGAGGGAGTCAGGAAATGTACTCCTTATTGATTCATTTTATTTATTTGAAATGCTGAGAGATCGGTGGAGAGAGATTTTAGGAAGCACTGCTGAGTGTCGGGATGAGAAAGAAGGGTACAGCGTTCAATCTAGTGAGATGGGCAGAATCTCCAGGCATAAAAATAGCTGACTATAGGCCCCTTTGAAGAAGGGACCCCTGCACCTGACAGCCCTAGAGCTGAATGCTGGTCGTAGCAAGCTATCCTTCTACCCAGAAGCAATCTGGATGGATCAATGGCACTAACATAGGGATGGTGAGAAATGGGCAGCAAAAAGCAGCAACAGTGCACTGGCATGTATCCATGGGGACAAATCTCTGGTTGGTGCTAAGAGAAACAAGCTGGCTGCTGGAACACAGGTGGCCTGACTGAAAGGGTGTCGTAAGGTGGCTGGGGAGCCTTTCCTGATCCTCACGGCAGCCAGGTGCCAGTAGGACCCCACGTGGTCTGCACAGGGGGTCCATGTCAGCTGGGTGGAATCACCCAGCTTCCCCACTGTTCCAAGAGAAGCTGCTCCAAGACATCACCTCTTTCTGGAAGATGCTCAGGCTTTAGGGTCTGGGTGGAGAGCTCTGCATTGTATCAGCTCTGAGTCTGGTTCAGTCTTTGTTCATTTTCTTGAGACCTGGTCATTGATAGACTAAAGGTTTATGTAGTTCATGGTTCTGTGGGATAGAAAGACTGAGAGAATAACATTGCATCAGATATGGGCATGCCAGGGTGAGGTAGGGCATGTATGCCAGCTCAGGTTGTCTCTCCTCTTCTTATACAACCACTGATGCCTCTGATGCTTCATGTCCTCATCTGATCCCAAAGGTCCTGTCCCCAAATGCCATCCACAGATGAGTTTGTGGATTAAGGTTTCTGAATTCGATGAGTTTTTATTTTGGTGGTGGGTGGGTGGGGGGAGCAGAGCAGGCACGTTTAAACCGTGGCACAATCTTATGAAGAAATCAGGACACAGGAACTGACAGCATCTAAAAACCCTGGGAATCCCCAGCTGCTGCTGAGGCTGGCTTGCCCAGTAGCTGCCCCGTGGCTGCCCCATGGCTAGCCTGTAGCTTAACCTCTAACCTGATCTGTGACTTGTCCCTGTGGCTGCCCTGTAGCTTGCCCATTCTTCCCCATGGCTGCCCTGTAGCATGTCCCATGGCTTGTTCCATAACTGCCCCGTGGGTGCCCCGCAGCTTGCTCTATTGTTGTCCCGTGGTTGCCAGTAGCTTGCCCTCTAGCTTGGTCTGTGGCTGCCCCATAGCTTGCCCCTTGGCTCCCCCCTGGATGTCATACACTCTTCCACCTGCGAGACCTCGAAGCATCTTCTCAAGGCTGTCAGCAAGCCAAGCTCTACAGGCCCACAAAACCCTCTGACATGGCAGTCTCTGCAAATTGCAGACTGCTCAGCCCCTTCCCGAGCCCCCAGAAGGCTAACGCACATACAACATTAAAACGCTCTATGACGACAGGCTAAGAAAGGCTACATCCCAAATTGTGTGATGACTGCAGATCACTTTCAGCAGCAAACAATAATTTTTCCTGCCTCTTGTTCTCACTGATTCTATTTGTGCTGAGGTCAAACCTCGTCCACAATTATTTCCGTCATTCTAGTTCAGATGAGTCACTTACCAAAAATGAATATGAACCCCTCACATTCACAGCCTGCGTCGTTCAGGCCTGTTAATTATTTATGGATAGTCCATATTCCTTTGGAATAATGGTGATGTGACTGCCCAGTCCAGAAGGGTGGGCCATCTAGGGCACGGCATCTCTCACCCTGCCCCAATGCTACCACACCCCAAGACTACTTGTATTCCAGCCAGACAGTTCCTGAACTCTTACACACAATTGATAAAAATGTTAATTAACGCATAGTGGAAGATGGTATAGAGGTTCCAAACACAACTACCACATAACCCAACATTCCAGCTACTAGGTATGTCCCCAATAAATTGAAATCAGAATGGCAAAGAGGCTTCTACATGCCCACCTGGATTGCTGCATTAGCCACAGCAGCCAAGATACAGCATCAACCTAGACATCCACTAACAGTTGAATGGAAAAGGAAAAGGGGGCATTTATACACAGAGGGATACTATTCAGCCATAAAAATGCAATCTATTATTTGCGAAAACATGGGTGGAACTGGAGGACATATTGATAAGGAAATAAGTCAGGCCCTGACAAGCAAATCTTGCACAAGTTCTCAACCCCATGTGGACACTAAAATGTTGATCTCATAGAAGAGGGTACGGTGATAGCTATTAGAGGTTGGGAAGGTTGGTGGGAAGTGGGGGATGCAAAGAAAGGATCTTTGGCAGGTACTGGGGTGAAGTGGGATAGAAAGAATAACCCGCTCTTACGTCCCATAGCACAGTAGGATAACTGAGACAGACAACATCTAATTGCATGTTTCCAAAGAGTTAGCAGAGAGCACTTGGGATGTTCTTTAACACAGAGAACGATAAATGTTTGAGATGATAGAAATGCCAGCTGCTATGCTCCAATCATAACACACTGTTCACATGTACTGTGATCATATTATATCCCATAAACACATAAAACTATTGGGTCTGAAATAAAAATTTGGCAATATGAAAAAAGACCATTTCCAGCATCAGCTTACGCCTCCCCAGCCCACACTCGTTACTTCTGCTATCATCAACGAGTGGTCAGTCTTACCTGGCCGGCGAAGAGTCCGCAGACCCCAATGATGCACAGGATATTGAAGACGGCTGAGCCCACGATGGTACCAACTCCCACGTCTCCCTTGGTGATGAAGACCCCTGGAACAAGGAACCACATTAGCCCCAGTGCAAGGTGAGAGGTCAGGGTGGAGTGCTTTGTAAATGCTAGGCTGTGCTCAGGATCTGAAGGGTTAGAGGTAGCTTTCTAAGCCATTGAGTCTGGGACAAGTTCAAGCACAGCAAGAGTGCCACTGCAATGCCCCCATAAGTGGAGAGGAACAGCAGAACAGCTGCATTGGGGCCTGTGGAGTCCCCTGTCCCAGACATGGCAGATAATCACCCCTGGGGATCATGTGGCCTTAGAGACCTTTCCTTTTGACGGGCAAAGGTCTGGGATTTCCCCTGGGATTGTCGCCTACCTATGACGGAGGTGAAGAGCTCTGGGGCCGAGCTGCCTGCTGCCATGAATGTCGCCCCTGCCACATCTTCACTGAGGTGCAGGCGCTGCAGGGGAACAAAGAGAGAGCGCAGGTGAGTTGGAATGGACCTGGGAACACAGGTGACTGTGACTTCTGACACCCCAAGCCCTGAGAAGCTGGGTGTGAGGAGCCATGACAGGTCCCGGGGCCACTCCTACCAGACCCCTTTCTGGGTCAAGGCCCTTCTCCTTGTTAGAGAGGGGACTTGTGTACCTGAGAGTTCCAGGTGTCTAAGAAATCTAGGGGCACTCAAGCCCAAAGTCTCCCAGGGTTGTGTAGATGACAGGAGGCATAGAAGAGGCATCATGAGGCCACCAGGGCAATGGTGAGTGGAACCCCAACTCCTTTCCTACAGCAGCCTGGCTCCATCTTCTTCCCTATCTTACCAGAGTCTGGTTTTTCAAGAAATGCCAGCGTCCAGATTTGTATTGAAAAAAATGGCCACTTTTGGGTGAAATTATATACTAATGCCTAGATAAGCAGGTTTCATGTAAGCTGGTTTGCCAGCCTCCATTCTAGGATGTATGGGGCTTTTGGGGGATGTTTATCCACGGTTGGGAAAGTAGGAGTAGGGGAGGCAGGTGGAGGAGAGTGTTTGAAGTATTGGCCTGGCCAAGATATCTTATACAATGAATACTCCAGGCTATCCTGTTTGTGAAGCCAAAAAGTATTTCGCAACACAGAACAAATATATGTTCTAGAGGCTGATGAGTGCAGCTTTTCTATGTTGAGTTGTCATGCTCAGTGTACGTTGCTGGTTGTGGGTACAATAGCCCGCTCCCTCCTGGCTGGGCTTGAAACGCAAAGGTCTTGCCCCTCAGCTACACCTGCTGCTGCTGCACTTCCTTGCTCAGCCATGGAGGGGCAGCATGGCCTTGGTGCAGGCCACTGGTCTGTGGCTGACCATAGGAGCCCAACGTGTGGTTCCTTCTGCTCTGGACTCAACAGTTTATTTGCACATGGTGCTGAAGGGACTCTTACATGCGCATACTACTTTTCACATGAAGGCTCCCAAGACCCTAAGAGGTTAGTGCTGCCACGCTGGATTTGAAACATGTGGCTGTGAAGTGTCCTCCAGTCTCACCAGGCAGAGCTATCCGGGAGGAAGGGCAGCAAATGCACTATGCACAGCTCTTGGTGTGGTCTGTCTGTTCGTCTGCTATTGACAATGAGCCATATGACCTCTGCACCGCCATGGTTCTGTCCACCAGCTGGGGTCTGGTGATTCTCAGCTGCAGACTCCCCTCCTTGGGCTGCTGGGTGGGTTCTCTAGCTTCTTCACTGGTTCCTGCCATCTCCCCTCTTTCCTCTGACTCCTCCCCAATTCATTCTAGCCCTGGCAACTGCCCACTATCCCAGGCAGTCTTGTGTCTGCCACGACATAGTCATGGAAAGCAACCAGTCCAGGACCCAGGATTCCCACAAGCAGATGCAAACTTCTTGCTTTCCCCTTCTTGGTTCAGACTCTCACTTTTTTATTTTCTGATTAAAAATTCTAGCTTGAAATGTTTTGCTGGGAAGCCTTCCTCTCCCAGGGGTACCTGCCCTTATATCCCTGGCTGACAAACTCCCCTCCCTACCTCTCCCTTTATTTCCCCATTCTTCACTATGTCACCGAGTGCCCAGTGTATACCAGTGGTCTTCAACACCCAAGGGGATTGGTTCAAGGATCCCGACAGGCACCAAAATTTAAGGACATTCAATTCCCTCTTAGGAAATGATGTAGGGTCTATATGGAACCTAGTACATCACCCTGGAAGTACAAAATAACTTCTAGGCTGATTGTGGCCTCCTTCCGCTTTTGTGGAGCCAGAGCCGCTGGCAGCTTTATTCTGTTTCATGAACTCTGGGACCTGGGGACTTGGACTGCAGCCTGCCTCCCTTTTCTCTTCATAGCCTTTGCTCAGCCCGGGTTTCTATCGCCCAGTCTGTAGTCACACCTTGCCGTCCCCAGCAGTGAGATTTTGCTCGTGCTGGTTGCCGTCCACCCTTCTTGGCCTTAGTGTAGCTAAGTCTCAAGGGTGCATAGGAGTCATCATGACTGAACACCTTCATGTCCTATGAGACAAGGTCAAGGCAGTCGGAGGCCCAGGGGCCATCGTTTCAGACAAGGGGAAAGTGTAGAGGTCAACCTGGAACAAGTGCTGCGCTAACCCAGGTCCTGCCCCCGGTGTTCTTGCTGCATCAGTATGTGCTCTTCTTTTCACCCATCCACTTCCTTTCTTTGCCTTCCACCCCCTCACCCAACCTTTTTTTTATGTTGTTTCAGCTTGGAAATATTTGAGACTAAGTGACAATCTGCCTACATCTTCACTATGAATTGCTGAACAGTGCAGATTTCTCTGCCAAATTATATTTCCTGGAAGCTGAAAGCAACATCATTTTGTGTGTGTGTGTGTATGGTTTTTTTTTTTTAATATCCCAAAAGATTTACTTATTTATTTATCTGATAGGCAAAATGGTAGAAAGAGAGAGAGAGTTTGTGTGCGTGTATGAGAGAGAGAAACAGAAAGAGAAAGAGAGAGATGTTGAACTGGTGGTTCAGTTCACTGCATGGGTGGCCCCTACAGCCAGGGTTCGCCTTGGCTGAAGGCAAGAGCTCAAAACTCCATCTTGGTTCCTCACATGGATGGAAGGAGCCCAGGCACGTGGAGCATTTTCTGCTGCTTTCCTGGGCACATCAGCTGGCAGGTGGACTGGAAGCAGAGCAGCCTGGGACTTGAACTAGGACTTTGGATATGGGATGGTGCTGTCACAAGCATCCCCATGTCCTCATTTACAGATGAATCAACAGTGAACAACACATCAAGTCACTAGACAGTGAGTTCAGAAAGTAATGGTATTGAACAGCACTTGGGGACATTGTGGTTCAGCAAGCACCTCTAAACCCCACACTATGGAGAAGGATCCAATTGAGATCTCCCTCTCCTGTTGTGCCCCAATAAACACCTTCTCTTCCCCTCTTAGCCTTTCTATTAAAAACAGAGCTCACCTCAACCTCTTTTCTTGCCGTTTTTGGGCTCTTTTATTGTGTCTTCTAAGGGTGTACACAGGCTCACAGGTTCCTTGACTTTCCTCAGTTGAGCAGAATGCTTGCTGACAACCATTTCTGTATTTCTAGCACACAATACACAGCATATTTGTCATTAATAGTAAAACTTGGGCCTGTTGTGGTAGCCTAGTGGCTAAAGTCCTTGCCTTGCACATGCCAGGATCCCATATGGGTGCTGGTTCTAATCCTGGTGGTCCCGTTTCCCATCAAGCTCCTTGCTTGTGGCCTTTGAAAGCATTCGAGGACAGGCTGAAGCTTTGGACCCCTGCACCCATGTGGGAGACCCAGAAAAGGCTCCAGGCTCCTGGCTTTGGATCGGTGCAGCACCAGTCATTGCAGCTGCTTGGGGAATGAATCAATGAATGGAAGATCTTCCTCTCTGTCTCTCCTCCTCTCTGTATATCTGAGTTGCCAATAAAAATAAACAAATCTTTAAGAAAAACAGTAAATGTTGTGTGGGAAAAAGATAAGCTGTTTGCCTTGTATGAAGAGTAAGCTGCCAACTAGTGCTGCCTTTGGCTAACTGTGCCTAAAGGTTCAACCAACCCCACTCCATGTGCATCACTTTAGGCATTCTGAAGAATCTAGACATGATGTGTAAAGCATAGCGGGTAGAGGTGGCCTTTGGCACAGGGGCTAGGATGCCACTTAAGACACCTGTATTTCTCACAGGAGTGCCTGGGCTTAATGTCCAGCTCTGCTTCCAGTTCCAGCCTCCTGCTATGGCACACCACAGAAAGCAGTAGAGGATGGTGTAGGTATCTGGGTCTCTGCCATACACGTCACAGAGACCACTTGGTGTTACAGGATCTTGGCCCAGGCTTGGCTGCTGCAAGTATTTATTATATCAATCAGGGGACAGAAGATCTCTCGGCATCTGTCTCTAATGAAATGAAAATAAATGCATTACAAGCCATAGAGTTTATGGGAGGATATGCATAGATCATATACAGAATCTATACTGTTTTGTATAAGGAACTTGAGTATCCGTGGGTTTTATTATCCACAAGGGTTCTTAGAACTCTGGGAACCCCTTCTGGATACTAAGGGGAGGACTGGATTTCATAGATCACAAAGGAAGTCAGCCATAGGTTCTGGACACTTCCTCCTGTCTAACACAGGTAATTCCTCACTCAGTCTGAGTCACTGTGGGCAAGAGATCCTGCCCCTGCCTAGCGTCCATCTCAGTAACCACTTCACCTTCCTTATGCTACCACCAACGCAAGAGGAGAATACAGCTATGGCCTCTGTGGGGTGGTTGTTTCTCTAAGTCATAGATCAACCTACGTACCTATCAGCTATCTACCTGTCATCCGTCTGTCTACCTCTAATCATCTATTTATCATTTCTATTATTTACCTATTATCTGTCTAATCTCCTATCTACTAACCTGTTTGTCTGCATATCTATCTATACCAAATATGACATCAATCCACCCACGTATCAGGTATTTGTCATCTATCAATCATCTGTGTGTCCACCTCCCATGCATCATGTCCTCTGCCCACCGAACAATCTGTCAAGTAGCTACTGTCCACCTACCTCTCTTTTTAATCTATCTTTTGTCTATTTCTCATCTACTATATTTCTCATCTATTTTCTATCATCTCCCTATCAACATCATACCTGCCAATTGAACTGTTTACCACATCTGTCTGCCCACCCACCTACCTACCTATCTAAAGTATAAAATTAAAAACTTTCGGGTGTAGAAGAAACTGTTTAAGTCAGTGGTCCTCAAAATGTTGTTTCTAGACAAGCAACCTGGAAATTTATTCAAAACTGAAGACTACAGCCCCTCCCTCTCTTGCTGCCGAGACCTACTGACTCGGATCCTGGGGGGAGGGAGGAAAGGAGAGGGCAACAAGGTTGGAGGAATTGGGCCAAAGGAGACAGGACTTTCAGATGGGCTGATGTGTCTGGGCGAGGTCCCTTCTGAAAATGAGGACTCTGAATATAAAAAACTCCAATAGATAAGATGAAGTTTCCAGATAAAGGAGACTATGCTTTAGAGTGAAGAGATGAAAGAGGCAAGGGAGGAGAGTTCTAGATGTGCTGTTTGTGATGAAAGGGGCTTAACTTGCTGTTCTGCCTGGTGCTCTCTGTGATCACTGCGAACAGAGAAGCTTTGCCAGACTCTGTGCCCAATTCTTTCATCTTACCCCTTTCAAGGCCTCTCTTCGGGGCCTCGCTGCACACTTGAGACAGGAAGCTTGATGTGGTGTGTGGCTGGAGGTCTCTCACCCTTTGAGGATCCCCACCAGCCACCTAAGAGGGATGAGGGTGAAAGAAGGACTAGAAGCAGGTGGAGCAAATGATGGGGAGAGAGGAAAAACAGGAGTTAAAAGGCAAAATGAGGCTCTACCTTCAGACCAGAGATGGTCTCCACAAGAAACTGTTGAACTTATCTGGACAATAAGATGCTGGACTCTATGCTTGGTATATGCTTGCAATGAAAGAACCTCAAGTGAACTTGAACTATGGCAATGTAGCAAGGTGGAGGAACTCACCATGGGGGAGGGTTAGGGGAGAGGTAGGGGGAATCCCAGTGCCTAAAAAACCGTGTCACATAATGCAATGTAATAAATAAACAAATAAATAAAATGAAATGTAAAGAAAGGCAAAATGAAAATGGGGAAGCAGAACAGAAACTGAGTTGGACCTCACATTTTGGGTTTTACCATCATTTGTGGCTTCAACCAATAGCTCTGAAAAAAACTGTGTAATGAGCACATACAGACTCTCTTCCTTGACACTACATAGCAAAGCAATGATGCAGAAAGCATTTATGCTCTTCTTGCTATTACAAAGAATCCATGGATGACTTACAGAACACTGGAAGATGAGTATGCATGGATTTGTTTGGAGCCAATCCCTTGCAGATACTCAGGGATGACTGTAGCATGAGGATGTGCTTCAAGGAGTGGGAGAAGCTGACCACAGAAGCTTCTAACACTTCCCACTGCTCTTAATTGTGCTTTTGGTATCCCTAACCCTGGCTGGATTCTCGGCCTCATCAGCACCTTGGCAAGGAGGCTGGAATAGTCCCAGCCTCAGACACACTGAGACACATACCTCACAGATCTTCTCCAAGGAGGGGACGAAGAAGTCATCACACACAATGGCGAGTGCGTAGAACATGTACATGGCCTGAAAGAGAGGCAAAAAGACAGTTATGTCAGAGGTAGGCAGAGCCAAGGTGTGTGTGGGGGTAAAGGTCTGGCTGCTTCTGGCTTCAATATGATCCTTTATCATTGTGAATTTAAAGGCTGAAAAGAGCCAAGTAGCAGGTCTTAGCAATGTCTGGAACAACTCCATGTGGCCTGTTTTGGGCTTTATCTCTAACCTCACTGCCTAACACTCTCCTCTTGTTCACTTGCATGTTCTACAAATGGATGCCTACCTCAGGGCCTTGAATCTTCTCCTCCCTCTGCCCTGGACACTCTCTGTCCCTGCCACCTCAAATATCTCATTGGCCCTCTCTATTATTCCCCTCTCAAAATGTCTACTAAACTCCCCTCTCTTCCACTTCTCTTTATCCCACTTGTATCATTTTATTATTTTTCGGTATGGCATGCTATGCTAATTCATGTATTGTCTGTCTCCCCTCTAAAAGCGTATCAGATTTGAAATAGATATCCTTTAATTATTGCTGTATGTCAGCGGTGAGCACATGGCACAGCAAATGGTTGGTGCTCAAAAAAGATATGAAATGAAGGGAAAAGGGGATGAATGAATGAATATTGCCTACTGAACTGGCTCATTCAGTTGGTCTCTGCAGGACAGGCCCTGTAAACTTGCCTCAATATCTTGGTCAGCTATGACTGGATATGATATGGCATATCCTGGAGTATCCCTTCTGGCCTGCAATCGACTCTACTTCAACTTACTCTCTGATTCCTCTGTAATTCTTCAGATTCCACCCTCAACTCCTTCCTAAGGGGACCCCAGTTTTGTCCAAATGTCCACCCCCATGTGGAAGGCAACTGCTTGCCACCCAACTTCTTGCTTCTGCAGTAGACCTGATGGGCATTCAGTGTGCAGTGTTCCCCCAAGGATGGCTAATAGTCCAGGGTTGGGTGCATGGCACAGGCTGGCCCTCTCAGAGGTCAGAAAAGACTTTACAGTCCTTGCCAGAGGGAGTCACTTGTCACTCTTTCGCTGGTTGACAACAGGAAGCTAGGGGTTCTAACTGCTACTGGCAGCCATGTTGTAGGAAAACTGACTTCAGGTAAGTTGACCCTGAAGTAGAAAGCACCTGATCCCTTAAGGACATCACTGAGCACTGGTCAAGTGGTGCCAGAGTCCACTCTGCCCCTAGACTTCTTCACCTACCTGAAGTCTCGTAAGGCAGGTTGGATTAGCTGACTCTGTCACTTAAGATTGAAAGTGTTTGATGACCTCCCAGCATGCTGTCCTTCTGTGAGCTGCTCCCCATAATGGGGTCATCAGTCACAGCTCCCCTCTTCCTCACAACAGGGCATAGATACCTGGCTCAGGCTGGCCAGCAGAACACCGACTGCCACTCAGGAGTGGGTGGGCTAAAGGTTAAAGAGCAGTCAGGTGTGTATTACTAGAGAAGCTGAGGAAGAGAGCCTCTTTCTGAGACACACACTCCCCTGGCAAGGAATAGGTGACATAGCTGTCATGTAGACAAAGTACGTCTCAGAATGCTACTCACACAGGAAGAGGCTGGGTTAAAGAAGTGACAGGTACACCACACACACACACACACACACACACACCACACACATGCCCAAGGACACCAGGTGAACCCAGCAGCCAGCTCAGTCTGAAACCAAAGTCAACCTTCAAATCCATGAGACAAGAACATGCCTTTTGCATCTGTCACCTGCAATTGTCCATCAAAGAACCTTCTGCAGCAATCCAAGCATGAAATGTTATCTCTCTTGTCTTTGACTCTTGGTAGTTACACTAATTTAGAGCCTTTACCTCCCCTACGCACGAGTTTCTTTTCTTTTCACAGGTATGTGTTTGGTTTCTGCCACTACATTGCATGATTCTGAAGTTTACCTTAACACTTGATACTGTGGTACTATCAGGCAAAAGCACAAAAACCAAGGAGGTAGAGTTATTTATCCCCAAATTGCTGACTCTAATACATGATGAAAACCTAACAAAGCACACCATAAGGGATGAGTTATATAAATGATGAGTCACGATTCGTTGAAATGCTGTTCAAAGTATTCTGCAAATTCCTACATGGTGATAAACAAAGGCATTTGCAATACACAGCTCAATGAAAATGTCATGAAATGGTATGTCTAATCTTTTTATTAAATTATCTACGTAGATACGGGTTCACACACTTCTGTAACTGCTTGTATGCAACAGTTTGAAAGGCCAGTCATCAATTTAACAGCTATACTCCTTCTTCAGCAGGTGTGGCTCTCTGTGTTTCAAAATCCCTAAGTTTTCCATCCTGAATCTATTTCTTGTGTGATATTCCTCAGGAGTCTGGATGGTGGGAATGCACAAAAATCTTTTTAAAAATGTATTTGAAAGATAAGAGTTGGGAATGAAGGAAGATGGGGTGGTAAGTGTCATTGGGTTATCATTATGTTCTTAAATCTGAATATATGAAATTTGTTTCCCTTATATAAATAGCATAAATATACAAAATAAAAAAGAGCTACACAGAGAGAAAGGGACACACATAAGTACAGAGAGAGAGAAAGAGAGAAAGACAGAGAAGGGTTGTCTTGCTGGTTCACTTTCCAGATGGCCACACTGGCCAAAACCATGCCAGGCCAAAGCCAGGAGCTTCATCTAGGTGTCCACGTGGGTAGTAAGGACCTAAACATTTGAACCATGATACACTACTCTCCCCAGATCATTAGCAGAGAGGAGTAATGGAAAGTAGAGCATCCAGGACATGAACTGGCACCCACATTACATCTCAGTGTCATAGGCAGCAGCTTTATGTGCTATGCTACAATACCAACTCTGCAAAGAAATCTTTAAAACTATTTTTTATTGACTGATCTATGTGTAATTTCTACACAATTCTTTGTGATAGGGTTTTTTTGAAGACATCAATCTAAAAATAATTCATGCTGTATTTTACAGCCTTGTGGATAAGTCTGAAAGCACATTTTCAAATGGCAAAGGACTCAAATTGTCTCCTGCCATATGACTTGGCTGATGCAATGCTGTGCAGGTCTGAACATTATCTTTGAAAGGACATCCAAATTCAGCAATTGGAAGAGAGAACTGCACATCTGTGGATTAACCAAGATCTAAACAAGCTGTCCACAGCTGACATATTGAACTGACTGAGACAGTGCATGCTGTTTAGAAGTACAAATACCATTTCATTAAAAATACGTCCCCCAATAGTAAGTGCTCTATGTGGAGGCAAGAGGTTCCATCTAACATCCTACAGGTATCCAAGTTTGGAAATGCATAGATCTGCCAAGCTCCCGTGCTTTCTGAAGGCAGTGGTTGTAGAAATTCGTGATATTTTCCATGCACAGGACAGAATGAGATGGAAACATCCCCCTCAATCAGACACCCATAACCAAGCTCCCTTGGGTAGCTGGAGTGGCGTATAGGATGGTGGGGGTCTCCTGGCACCTGAGGGTAGGTATGGCTCTGCTGTGATTGTTTCCCACATGACCTACATGAGCACTGGTACAAAAACAAAGCCACACAAGCACACTGTGCCAAGGAACACAGCTAATATACCAAGCAAGACTCTGCAATACAGAAAGTCTATAGACCTTGGACAGTATGGCCTGGACAGCACTATCAAGACCCATGGCAAGTGCATTTACATAAGAATAAGGCATTTTGAGGATGATTGGACCATTCCGGTATTTCCAAAGGTTGTGTTACTATCATTGATGATGACTACAATGATCACAAAGCCAGCAATGAGAATGTTTGCCAGTTTGCTGAGAAGGAATCCCAGTCATGCTCTGGGCACTTTACTAGCACAACATAACTTCATTCTTGCAGCTCCTGTGGGAGGTAGGAAGTCAGTGGTCCCATTTCCTAGGCAACTCAGAAAATGTAGTAGGTTACCCTGATGCATGGTTAAAGCACAGCAGAGCTTGGGTTTGCCCTTGCAGTTCTCTGCTAGCCTTCCTACAGGGTCCAGCTGCTACCTTGTGCAGAGCTCATTTCTTTTTTTTTATTGTAAAAGTGTATTTGTAAGATTTGTATTTATTTATTTGAAAGTCAGAGAGAGAGAGAGAGAGAGAGAGAGAGAGAGAATGAACGAATGAATCTATCTTTGATTCACTTACCAAATAACCACAATGGCTAGGACTGGGTCAGGCTGAAGCCAGGAGCTTCATCCAGGTCTCTTATGTGGGCAGAGGTTCAAACAGTTGGGTCATGCTTTGCTGCTCTTCCCAGTCCATTACCAGGGAGCTGGACTAGAAGAGGAACAACTGGGACACAAATTGGTGCCCATAAGGAATAGATCTTAACTCTTCAAAATCCTTCAAATACCCCAACCCTGGGCAGCCCAACGTATACCCTGGAATCCAAGTCTTGGGTTTGGCTTCAGGAACCAGAACATGGAAGGTATAACAGAGTTTATTTATTTATTTATTGTTTTTGTTTTCAGTATCAACTGCGATGCACACAGGAGCTTCTTCTCTCTGGAAACATACCTGTACTGATGTATGATAAGGATTGCCTAGGACTACAGGACTTGTTTTCTATTCCTGCTCTGGCCTCTCCTCCCTTGAAGGGTAGAAGCTGTGTCTATCCCACTCCTTATAAGCTTGCACAGAATGGTTCATGTGAACTGAGTAGTTCTCAAGTAAAGTGGCTCTTGTGGAGTAGCTGGTTTTGCCTTTGGAACCTAGCAAGGAAAATGTATGATCAGTGTGTACTGGGCCAAGCAGCTGCTGAAAGAGGGACAGCTGGAGGTTTGGAGGAAACCCACAATGCTTGGAGGATCTTGCATCAAGTCCAGAACTTGACCCTTTCAAGCTGTGCAGCTTTGACTCTGTTCTCATCTAACCTAGACCTCACAATGCTCTTCAGGGAGCAGGGGACTGTTGGGAGGAGTAAATGGATGCAAGTGGACAGAGGAGACTTTGTTATAAGGAAGTACCTCATGCACACTTCTTGCTGAAGATGCTGGAGAAAGACACAGGTGAAGCAGTGGTCCC